CGACAGGAAGTATGAGCGGAAAGAGAAGCCATGAAGCTCTATCCGGAATGCAATCCGTTTAGGTTTTCTGGCCTTTGCGGTCTATTTCCCGGAAACAGCAAGAAGCGAGCTCAGTGTAGGTGATCGATCACGTTTGGTCGTCCCACCAAGGAGAGCTCACACAGAGATGCATTTGTGTCCCCTGGCCGTTTTGCTGTCGGGTCTGGGCAACGACAGGAAGTATGAGCGGAAAGAGAGGCCATGAAGCTCTATCCGGACAACTCAACAAGCGCAGCTTCCACAGAGACGCAAGTGGAAGGAAGCCGGAGGAAGGCAAGTCTTCAATCCGAACTGCAACTTTTCCTTTTTGCGACCCCATGGGTCGACGTTGCGGAATACCGGCACGCACGAGATTGTCGAAAGTCGCAGTTGATTTACTGATTGATGGATGGCATGATGGTGGCAATATGAAGTTGTCAGAAATCATCTTTAACTCCCGTCTGTGCGGTATTTCGGCCTAGATTGGGCCTACATTCCTTTCGGGAAAAGTGATGAAGAAGCTCAGCGCATGTGGGCCAGACATACTTAACCTCCGGTCCATCAAGGAGGGCTTCTGCAGACACAACTCATCTTCTGTTTCGCAGAATCGGCGCGGAGCATGGCTCCACAGGGGCTTTCTGCAGAACTTCGCGCTTGCTGGAACGTCAACAGCCAACAGCCCGTCGAAGCTGTGCCTTCTGGAGGGGTTCCAGCGTCCACGTATCTCATTGCTCTGGTGGTAATTGCAAAATTTCATAAACATTGACTAGACTAGATAGGCACAAACTTGGAACGTGAAGACTCTAAACCCAAGGCGCTACAGTCACTCGGCGGCCTTGGTCGGAAGCCGCGTGGTGCTGGCCCCAGTTAGCTGCTGTTTTGGGGGGAAACTGGGAGTTTTGAAGAATTCAGGTAGGAGGGATATAGCATTGCTTTAGGGGTCTTTCAGGGTCAGGAGCTGCCTCGGCAAGCTTAAGGGATCAAGCAGATATTCCTCGTTCAGTCAATGCACCACAATGCTTGAAAGCTTAGCCGAGCTTGGAGGTCTACTTCGGTGGCAAGGGCAAGGACTCGTGCTTCCGCGACCTGCATGCGCTAGATACCAGCAACTACACTTGGCTGCCACCTGAGTTGATTGCACTGCCGCTTGTTTGAGCAAGTCTGCACCCCAAATAACCCAGGCCGTAAACCCCGGCCGCTCAGCCACCCTCCTCGAATGATTGAAGATCCCAACAAAGCGTGCCGAGCCAACACACAGTCTTAGAAGTCGTGCTTGGAGTCAGACCTTTGTAAGAATTGATGGCGGTCCAAGGCACAGTTTCAGATGACATAAACACAAATCATGTTGTCAGCAGTACCCGAGGAACAGCAACAATCGTATCCCCTAATATTAAGCGGGGCGGGGCGGGGGCCCCCGAATAAAAACTCGGAAAGTATGTTTATGATTAGGTGATATTTTTATCTCTGCCGCCACTTTTGAGGGGTGCTCTTGCTCCCGCGCTGGCCTTTGCTCCTGCTATCTCCTGCTTCTGCTGCGTCTCTTGCGCCTGCTCCTGCTGTTGCTGTTGCTCCCACGTTTGCTCCTGCTCTTGCTCTTGCTCCCGCTCTTGCTCTTGCTTCTGCTCTTGCTCTTACTGTGCTCTAAGAGTATTTGGAGCCTCGAAACCCTCCCTCTTAATTCAGAATACGTTTCAAAGAGCATGGCTGGTTTCGGGAGGATTCACCCCATTTTGTTTTTGTTATTATCAGGAGGGTGTTTAAGAAAAGGGTGAAGTGATTAGTATGGTCAGTGGTAGTCGTCGTCGTGCCGCCACCGCCGTGAGCAGCAGCGGTAGGTAGGAGTAGTAGCAGTAGTGGCAGAAGTGGCAGTAGCATTGGACGTAGCAGTAGCAGCAGCAGCAGCAGCAGTAGTAGTAGTACTGAAGCCATTCCAATGCTAATCGTAGCACCTTGTGCTGCTGCTGCTGCTGCTGCTGCTGCTGCTGCTGCTACTACTACTACTACTACTACTACAACTACTACTACTACTACTACTACTACTACTACTACTGCTGCTACTACTGCTACTGCCCCTACGGACGCTTCATGCACATCCTCGCTTCTGAAGGATGCAACGATCTACCTTGGGTTGTCAGAAGCTGTCCGAAGCCACTGGCCTCCGAGTCGATGTCTCCGACAATGTGAAAATCTTGCAACCACCTCGCAGTAAGCAAGGCAGCAAGTCTTCTAGCTGTACTGCTCCTCGACCCCGAACCGAAAGCACGGAGCCCTTCGATGTCAAGCCTTAGGTTTCAGGGCCCAAGCTCGGGTGGTGCGCCTTCCGCGCGGCACGGTTCGGTCCTTGTTCGCCGGCAGGATGGAGGATTTGGGGCGCTTTTGAGTTTGTCACGTATGCAAATGAACTTTCAACCCCTGTTACAATCGAGCTGCGCTCTTGACAAGCCGTCCGCACAATTTCTCGCAGCACGGTCTATCGCAGTGTTGTTGGCTGATTGTGAGTTTCTGTGCAGACGAGTGTCGAGGGCAGCTACGTGTGAATGCAAGCCCTGAAGCTGAAGCCAAGATGCCAATATGCCCCGAAGCACGAGGCCACACGGCCAACCTCCACGGGACGCGATTGTTCGTCTTCGGTGGCACCTGTAGCGGAAAGCCGGGAAGCCCAGCCTAGCCGGTAGGGGCTTGGCCTTTGCGGCACCATGCCGACCGAAGCTGTTTCACCGCGGATTGGAAATCTTGCAAGCAACAATGCTCGGTGTTTCTCTATTCCTCGTTCAGAACTGGGCACTGAAGCCGAAGCTGGATCAGGTTGTTGCTTGGGTTGAACATCTCGTTGTCGGAGTTGCATCAATCGTCCGCTCCGATCGGAGGTCTATCAGATGCAAGTGACTGTATCCGAAGATTTCATGCCTGGCCACAGCAGGACTGGCAGGACTCTTTGTGAAGGTTCTCCGCGGGACAGCTGCAACCGCAGCAACAACAACAACAATAACGACAATAACGACAACGACGACAACGAAAAGCACAGGAAGACTGGCTCTAACGCCAAGCCTGGAAAGAACCTGAAATTGCCCAGCAACGGAGCCGGCATTTCTCAGGTATTTCGGCGACCTGCACTGCTTCGGACTCAGTGCTTTTCCATCGGCTGGAGAGATGATTGCGGACAAAATCGCAGCAACTACCTCGTGGACGTAAGTTGCACAAGGACACACGGGGATCCGGGCACTGTCTCCACAGTCTGAATCCGAATGAAGGTGTTTGTCGGATGATCCTGTTGGGGACCTCTGGTTTCAGGTGAGGGCCGTGCAGTTCATCAAAAACGAGGATCCCAATCTCAAACTCCCAGCACGTCTTCAAAACAGAACTGTACCCTTGATGAAGCTTTTCAGACCATCGTGCGCATGTTCTGACAAGCCGCAGATCGGCAAGATCAGCACAAGCAACCTCTCCAACCTCGCAGTACCTCCTGTTGAGTCTCTGCAAACCAAGCACCCGAGGCTTGGACCTGGCAAGCATGGCGTGGAGCTGCCCCGCGACGCAGGGTGCCGTCCCGAGCGATCCCATCCAGCTTTTCTTGAGGATCCACAACGGAGATCCTACACAGCTGTCAGACATTCGGGGATCGACAAGCCGCGTCGGGGGCTCGCAGACATTTCGAGTCTGGCTTAGCGTAGGTATGTGGCCAAGTCATAAATCTCGGGGCTTGCGATTGACGTGGTGCGGGTTGAGGCCTCCAGGTAGGGAGACATGATCTTCGCACAAGCTGGCACTTGAGGACGAATACGATCCTTTGTCGTTTCCCGGAATTTGCGGGATTCGGGTGGACTCCAAGGTCCCAAGCCTACGCCTCGCTGTGGGCACGCTGCACTGCTAGCCGGAGAGCTGGCTCACCCAGAAGTCGACGATGGCCCTTTCGAGATTTGGGGGTTGACATCAGTTCGTTTAGACAAATCGCAAGAGCAGGTGGCAATGGCACCACAATGATAGGTGAAGAAGCGTGCAGCCATGATCCTTTGTCGACGGTAAGCTGCACCGGAGCATACTGTCATGCCAGAAAGGCCGGCATACACCGCTTAACTTAGATCTCGGCTTGGAGCGTAAGCATGCAGAATCCCTAGCGGCACATCTGAATGCCTGAATCTGAAGATATCGAAGCGATCCGAAGTGCCACGCGAGGTCCTTGTTGATACATGGCGGATTCTGCATGGACACCCCGGATATTGCCACCAAGGAGTGGCCAGCAGTCACTTGCATTGTTGAGTTCGGAGCTGACGAGTGACAGCAGTCAGTGGGTCAGTGGGAGTAGGTGGGATATTTAAAGGACGTACCTGAGCATGGGCTTCGACTTTTGAGCCCACTGTCCGCCAAAATCGCAGATGGTATGATCCTGGTATCACATCATGCTCAAAACACGATGACAAGAAGCCCTCCTCAGGACAACAGTGGCGATCTTCTGAAGAATGCGTACTGCAATGACGCTGGAAGCTTGATGTTCCGTTGTGGGGAGTGTATACACGGAGGACACCTTCCACAAAGTAGGCAAGCAGGGGTGAGGGCAAGCTGGGTCTGCATTCAGGTCCGCGTCCTGGATCTGAACCGGATGCTTTGGCAACGCACTCAGGGCAAGATCTGTTCAAGGCTCGCTGTGTGCAACACATTCAGGGGCAGGCAGAAGGTGGAGGACAGGTGTACGTCTGGTATCGTCTTGTGATGTTACGCAATTAGTTTGCTAGCCAGCTTTGGTCCTATCAGGTCTATCACTAAGAACCAATGAGAACCAATTGTGACAGCTTCAAGGTCTCGGCTGCGTACACATGGTTCGCCTCCGACCGGGCGATTTAGCCACACGGCAACCCTCAGCGAGGCCTCACGAGGGTCAGGGGACCATTATCGTTGTGAGCTCTGTGTCTTTGCAAAGAAGAGGCCTGACATGTAGGTTGAGAACTGGGCGCTAGCTTTGACTAAACGGAGGAAGTATCAAATCTTGCCAAATGGCCTCAGACCCAAGGGCTTCTATACTTTCAACATACTCACAAATGAACTTCAAACAGCTCCTTGCCAGGACGATGCCGTCATTTTCGGAGGCAGTGGACCTCTGAAACTCTCTTGCTTCGCTTTGGATGCACTGCCAGACCACGCTGCAACAGGTTGGGGTGGCAACTCTGCGCCGGCACGCGGCCCAGGCTGCAGGAAAGCGTACCTTTGGGAATAGTTTAGGGTTGCAGATCCTTGTGGGTAGATTTGATTTCGGCCGATGCTTCCTGGCTCTCCCATCAGACTCCCATGCCACCCAAGCAGTGCTTCCTCGAACCAAAGACTTGTCCAAGCCTCCTGGCTCTTTGCATGACAACATCCGACTTGCGCAAATGAGTTTGGAAAGCCATAGCTCATAAATGAAAATGTTGCATGGCATGACATGGACTGAATGGCATGTAGTAGCCGGATCCCGTAGCCTCCATGCTTGTCACACCGATATCGGCTTCCCTTCAAAAACCCCCAGTCGAAGTCGGAAGTTGTGCAGAAGCTGTCACCTCTGACCCTGTCTCGAAGCATGTTCCGAAGAGGCCTGCATCCATAATTCGGAGCTCTACCGCTCACCGATCCGAAGCCTAGGCGCCTGGCGTGGCTTTTGCCTTGCGTGGCAAGGCTGGGAAGTCAATGCAAGTGACGCTTTCTGCAAAGAATGTGGTGGTGAAGTGGGCCACGGCTCAAAACGAATCTTAGGGTCAAATATTAGGACCTGGCTTGTGGCTGAAGAATCATTCAGGGGCAACGGTGAGCGGGGCAGCTAAATCTCGGAGGTGGCGCAACAGACGAAATGTTTCCTCATCGTACCAGCTGTAGCAACAACTTCACCTTGAAGTACACTCCGAAATCCAGCAGCAGCGAGTCCAGGTTCGTCCTTCAACCCTACCACTGCATTATGCCACATGTGTATGACTTTTTTTGTATATCGATGTATGTGTATGTATGTGTGAAAATATATAATATATAATGTATCAATATTAGGTGCTGGTCCAAGACTGGCTGGTAGGAGTTGCCTGAGTGATGGGAACGGCATGTGTGAAGTGCGACAATCCACCAAACATCCAGAGACGGTTGCTGTCGCGGCATTCAATGTGCATCGCTCGCAGACAGCAACGGAAGGACCCAGAAGCGTTCAGTGGCCAATGTCAAAGTCGTACTTGGAGGATCATGGAACTTGGTAAGCAAGGTTACAAGTCCCCTAACTGGGGTTATAAGTATAGTTGCTTTAGTTATAACCCTACTTACTAAGTCCCATGATCCTTTAAGTAGGAATTCAAGCGGCGGTAGCCTTCCTCGGAGGTTGCGGAGGACGAGACCAAGCAGCCCACGGCCTCCGAGGAGCAGACGTGCGACTACTGCCCGGGCCGTGGAGTCGGCTCGTTCTTGCGTTTGGGGCTTCCTTACAGGGGTGTGAGAGGCTTGCCCCAAACTGAGACTAGCTTGCAAGGCAAAGTGTCTGAACCTCCATGCCGGCATGCACCCCAAGCCCACAGGCCTTGGATCTCGACAGGCCGCAAAGCTTTGCATTCGACCCCCAGGTTGGACGCTGCGGACGTCTGACATGCAGTGGGTGCCGACCCCCAGAAGTGTCACAAATCGCGAGACCGCACGGACGATCATGGAACTGCGATATTGGGAGCTGGAAGGTTTTTTTTTCAGCAGCGGTGCCCAGCCGTACGATCTTGGGGTTTGGAATGCGCCGGTAAACAAGACAATAACTGAAGTAGTGTTGGTCATAATGACGTGCTGCTCATGCGGGAACCTAGGGCCAAGGCACAGACGAATCTCATCCATGATGCTACTTGCGACGGCACAGGTCGCCAACCGCTATGTGGGTGCCCCGCCGACCAAAAGATACGGGCATACGACCACAGCGATAGGCCTGGGACCCCGGTCTTACGGGCTTTTCAGGTATTCCAATGCGATGCACCGATCTGATAAGGTCCCCACCTCATCATCTTCGGCGGATGGGCTCCAACCCAAGCTTCTGCCCGGGCAGTAAGAGGTCATGGCGGGTCTTGGAGCATGGCCTTAGTAGCTTCGGCTCCACAGTTGCAGGCATCAGAAAGAGTGTGACATTACCGTCGTGGGAAAGCGAAGTACCGTGCCTCCAAACATGTCTCGCAGTGAAGCTGCTTTGTCGAAGGATGGTGGCAAGCCGCTGAACGACGTCGTGGTGCTTAGAGATCGATCCGTGGCAGAGCGAGCTGGCGAGGAGGCCTTGGCGGGCTCAGGGTTTCGGACTCGGAGCCTGGGCTTTGCAAGCTCTGGGATATCGGATATCGTGGGAAGCTATGGCTCCAAGTTGCTAAGCTGCTGTCGTGTTAGCAACCAATCCGAAATCGCGGAATTGCCCGAACGCCGCAAACATCATGCGCAAGTCGCGCGGGTGACCGGAGCATAAGCTGAACAGTGAAGTTGACCACCTGCTGCCATGCTGAATGTGATACTGGCAACAATCACGACTACGATGCGGATGGCGTTGGTGTGACCCTTTACCAAAAGCCCAGCTAGAGCACTTGATTCCGCCAAAGCTTTCGGAAAGGAGTTCTTCGTGGAAGGAGAGTCTCCTGCACCAGGCCGGCCCTTGCTGCAAACTTGGCAACCACTGAATGTGTGGAGCTATGGCATGATTACAGGGGCCGCCTCGGAGTATGTAGAAGACGACTTCGAGCTGGAGACAGCGGAGCACGGGGGAGGACCGGATTGCACTGCAGCACAGTGACTTCGGGACAGTTCGGTGCGAGGCAGGAATCAAGACTACCCCTCGCTCTCCCCGCCATGCTTGGTTTTCCCCAGCGATCGGGCTGTCCTTTAAACACCACCGAGAAAAAGAGAGCGTCTAAAGCTCAGAGCTTGCAGGATATCCGGCTTGAAACGGAGCAGGATCCTCAGCAACTCATGGCCTCACTTCGGATCGACACGAATCCATGTCTAACAGTTCAAGCCTCGTGCGAGTGCAGAGCCGGCCCACTGCCAGCTGTTCATGTCTCTGCACATCATACTTGGAGGTTCATGGGTAGCAAAAAGTGGGGTTACAAGTAGGGTAACCATAGTTATAATATTAGGGGGACTTTTTTTCCGTACTTAGAACTACCCATGAACCTCCAAGTCCAGTTCGAAGTAATCTGAACATCAGCTCCGGTCGCACGAATCGTTGGAAACCGAGGCTCAGAGACTTGGGATGTTTGAACGACCGGATTCACAGAGCCCCCAAGCCATCCTGAACCAGGGCCGGATGAAAGCAGCGTGATGCTTTGCTCTCAGTGAGAGTTTGCTCTTTCGGGTCTTTCGGGTGCTCTGGGCCGGGCCATCACAAAGCCACCAGCAGAAAGCCCCGCTCTTCGATTTCAGCCTTCAATGTTGGAGCCCCGAAACTTACCCCAGCCCTTAACCAGGCATCCCCATGTCTTAAATTAGGGGGAGCAGCTTGCATGTGCGGATGTTGCCAAAGGCAACGGTCATGTCAGGACTGTTTCACCAGGTCGCAGCTGCAAAGCGCAAAGCGAGGCCACTTGCTCACACCCATGGCATCGTATGTCTCTTGCGCAAGCACCCTCCGACAAGAAGCAGAAAGCGCATGGTGCCACGATGCATGAACGGTGCAGCTGCGAGCTTAGCAGGAAGAGTTCGCCGTGGCCCAGCTCGGGTTTGCAACTCACACCAAGATAAAAAGTCGGGCAGCGAACCGCTCTGCATCCTTCAGCATGCAAGCATGGAATCTGACATCGGGCAATCCAACATGTCGCTCTTAAGCCGTTCTTCGCTTTACAGAGATTGAACTCCTACTCTAGCCGATAATGAAATGGAACTGCAAAAGGCTTCGAGACATCCAAACACTTTCTCCCTTCTCCAGGAACTCTGCAATGAAGATTGTCGTTCTCTTCTTGCAGCAAGGTCCACATAAGCCCGCAGTGCTTGCCAGGAACTGCCTGGGCACGAAAAGTGCTGGTTCGTCTAAGGAACACTTTCCAGCATATGGCTGTTGCGCACGGGATAGGTGCCGAAGCCCTGAAAAATGATATTTGTCTTGTTCAAGCCTTCCGTCAGCCAAACGGGCTCAGACTCCCTAAGTGGGACTTGAAGGGACCAGAGCGCCACAACTTCACGGTCTTCCAAAGGGATTTAGGGCTGCAGGCCTCTACAGGGGGTTCCCTTAGCCTTGCATGGGCAGCGCCAGCATGCTAGCAGCAAGGCCTTCTCGGATGTTCTTCGTGCTAATCTTGCTGGTCTGCTACAAGCATTACGACAGCGACTATTGCTAAACTCGGAGTGCGTTGCCAGTTCACATTGATAGATGTCATCCTCGTATCATCACATGTACTTGCCGCTGCTGTGCCGTGGTTGTCGACGAAATCGCAGCCGAATCCGAAGCCTGTTGCAGGCCCATCGCCGTGGCCTTCGGAGATGACTTTTGGCGGCCACCCTCACGGCCCCGAACGGGAGCCCAGCTTTGGGTTCAGTGGCGTTGATTTTCCACCATTGCTTGGGGGGCACTCCTGCAGTCTTCTTCACTGCGAAGGCAAAGAGGTGATGCCAAGCCCGGCCTTCGTTTCTTCCCAAGGCCCGTCCGAAAGTCTGCTAAGTCTGGTGCACTTCGAGGGCTTCAGCGGAACCTGGGCTCCGATGTTGATGTGGACAGTACAGATGGCAAAGGTTTGGTACAGGAGTTCCCTCCTTCACGTCCGCCGGCATTTCAGAGTTCCAGGGTTCTCGTAAAGGGTCTTGGTCCAGGCTGATTGATGGCGAGGGCTGTGGTGAGGGACGTTTGTGTCGAGGCTCTGTCTGAGTTCATGAAGGTTTGTTCGCAGCGAAGCACTCCAGCACGCTCCGGATTGTCATTCGCGAGGGCGTGCCACTGGTGGTTTTGGCTATGATGGCGATGCTGAAATTTCTGGCCTCCTGCTCATCAGCCTAGTCTTCTGCCACGTCAAAAGTCAAGATCGCAGGCATTTTTGCTGCCCGTCGCTGGGCTGCTCTTGTGTTTTGTGTCTGACTTCACGAGCATGGCAGCTTCACAGGGGATCGAAGTTCGAAGTGGGAGAGGTTGAGACACTTGCCTGACTCGGGCAGGAAGATCTCGCCCGGATTGTCCAAGAACGCGGCTTCTCTAGGTTTGCAAAGCGACCTGACTGTCAAGAAAAGGTACATCAGAATACAGCACAGCATAACGCAAAGTCTCGCCCTTGCAGGCTCACGCCGCTCTCTGCCGGGGCCCGGGCCCCAAGAAAGTGGGCTGATGAACCGAAACGATCATGAGTACTACTAGTATTACTATCAAAGTTAGTATTATATGCTAATAGTAATCAGGAGAGATTGTTGTAGAAAACTGTGTTGGAAGGGTCGATTCCTGGCATGCTGGTCCGGATGCAGGGATTTTTTCGTGAATGGCTTGGGGCGTGGACATAGCTGAGGTCAAACAGCCTATTTCCTCAGGGGCGATGTCGAGACCGGGACCGACGAAGGCTTTTGCTTTGAACGTGGAGAGTCCAGAAGTCCATAAGGAGGCCTTGAATACGACCTTCATTCCATTGAAATCGCTGGACATCCTGTACGTGCCTGTGTCGCTGTTTGGGTATGTTTGGTCTATTGATGCGCCGTGCAAAGGCAGCAAGATCCATTGAAGCAGCCGGACGACCTGCTGACACAGATTAAGCCGGAGGCTCATCTGACGGACGTGTTTTGGCAGTCGCTTCTGGCGCAGTATGTTTTGGGCTCTGATTTCGGCTTGCCGAAGATATCACCCAGGATTCCTAGTTACTGAGTCTTTCCGTATCGAAGGCTGGTGGGGTTTAGTGGGGGCCCAGGGGCAGGGGGCGGCCAAAACATGTTGCTGGGCACCAAAGCAGAAGCAACCCTGAGCCAAGCTTCGCACATGCAGCATGAAGTGCTTCACTCGTACGAGCCTCATGGTTCAAATCAGCCACAACTTAACCGGAGATGCTGGTATAGCCGAGGTGTTCAAGCTTTCGGCAGCTGCTTGGATGCGAGAAAGCAGTTCCGTTCCGTTCTTTGGAGATTCGGTCTGCGGGGACACAGATCTCTCCAGATGTCAAGCCGGAAGCAGTTGAAACCTACCTCACAGCCTCGCTTGTGATCCTAAAGCGAAACATGGCCAGGTATCCGATTCTGGAGGCGCTCGTCAGGGCAGCCAGCTCTGCAAACGTGCCTGGCTCAGTGCTGGATGGGAGGCTTGCAGGCTTTTGGGCTCGCTGGAGGTAGACTGCTCTACTGCCAGCCCAATTTTTGCTGCCAAAGCTCTTCTTGTTATGATTGCCATGGTCAATGATCCCATGCATGATGCAGTCCCAGGACCGGCCGACTGTCAGCCGACAGTCCAGCCCGCTTGGGCCACAGCAGGTTTTGCAGCCTGGGTACTTGAGTCTAACAGTGGCACTGCTAGCTTCTGCACTGCGAAAGCTCCAGTGGCAAGAGACGCTTCCGCTCCAATTCGGCTGTTTCACCTTTGACCTGCCCACAGATCAAACTCATTTAGATTAGACGCCTCGATTAGACGTCTCCGAAGCTCCACGGCAGCAAAGGGGTGTTCTGTTGGCCTCGCCGAGGCGCACTGCAGAGAGAACACCTTCTGCACAGGAGGTGCCAAGTCTCTGAAACAGCCGAAGCTCAATAAGAGGCCCTTCACATCTGGCAGATGCAGATAGAGATGAGAAAGAACCTGATGATGGTGATGATGATGATGATGATTACGATGACGATGACGATGGAGACGTCGAAGATGAAGTTAAATATTACTGTATGTAAGGATCACAGTGGCTACGGGCTACAACCATGGATGATGGTGATGATGATCCAAATAGAGACGATGCGAATTATGATCACGATAGTCATGGCGACCGTTATTTTTAAGACGATGACGTTGGTGATCATGAGCAAGATGAAGACACATTAGCGAGGAGGATTCTGGTGGTGGTGGCGGTAGTAAAGGTGATGACGGTTATGGTTTCCCTGATCTGTTCATGTAGGGCAAAACTCCAGGTATCAGCAAGCAAAGTAACTAAACAACACCGAGATCGAAGGCAATGACACTTCAGATTGTTTTGACTTTGAGTCGATGTGTCCTTGTGTGTGTCTGTATGTGCATATCATGTTTAGTTCGAGTGTGTTTGTCGTTGGTTATCAGTGTTTGTGTGTGTGTAGCCTCAGTGTGTTGCCGTGGCGAACGGTAGCAGAAGTCCTATTGGTGATAGCAACAATCGAAGGGCAGGAGTAGTAGCAGCAGCCGTCGTCGTCGCACTAGCAGGTAGCAGATAGCAGCTGCAGCAGCAGCAGCAGTAGCAGTAGCAGCTGCTAGTCGTCGTGGTTCTGGTGATAATGTTGGAAGCAGGGGCAGCATCAAGAGCTGCTGTCAGTAATTTGGCCGCTTGGGAACGTTCGGAGGCGTGACGTTTTTCTAGCAACACACCGGCAGGAGCCTGCCATCAACTCGCCCGCAGAAAGCCGTGGGCCCGAGCCCAAAGTTGTCATCCACAAGCTCGAAACACAACTGCGAGCAGTGGTGGTAGCATCAGCTTGATGATGATAATGACGATGATGATGATGATGATGATCACCGTGACGATCCGACAATGAAGATGCTGAGCATGTCGAAGACGATGATTGTGCTGATGGAAGGGGTCATCGCTATCACCATACCCAGCGTCTTTTGCAATCTTCATCATTTCGTACACCCTTCCGG